GACTAGGCACTGAGTTTGGTCTTATCTTTACGAGGAAGGAAGACAAAACAAGTAGACCCAAAGACATGTAGGAAGGAATAATTGAGAGGTTGGGAATACATAGCTTTATAAGGGGATTGATTGGAGAGTAGGGAAGTTGGCATGCGATTAAGGAGGAAAGCTGCGGTAAGAACTGTCTCACCCCAAAATGGTGCCGGAACAAAGGCAGAAAGAAGAAGAGATTGAGCCGTCTCAAGGAGGTAACGGTGTTTACGCTCAGCACGACCATTTTGGACAGGGGTATCAGTATAGGAGGTTTGGTGAATGGTACCCAATAGAGCCAAATACTCACATAATTCAGTTTTGAAGTATTCCCCACCCAAGTGAGACCGAAGTATTTTAATTGTGGCCCCAAACTATGTAGTGATCATAGACAGAAATGTATGATATATCTGGTAGAAGTTAGATTTATGAGCCATAAGATAAACCCAGATATAATGGCTACAATCATCAACAAAGGGCACATAGTACGCAGAACCCCCTTTAGTGAGAACAGGAGAAGGGCCCCAGACATCAGTATATACAAGAGAAAAGAGGGAAGCAGAAATAAAAGTATTGTTATTAAAAGGTAAAGTTGTCATTTTAGCAAATTTACACCCTCGACATTCATTAATTTGACTAGGAGAAACTTTACCTAATAATCCTGACTGAGCTAAAGACCGTAAGCGGTCAACAGACAAATGACCTAAGCGAGAATGCCATAAATAAAACTGACTCGACTGAGAATCTAACTGAAAAGATAAAAGTGCAACGGGGGAGGTATAAAAAGGAAGATGCAGACTTTCCACCACATAGAGATCTCTAACTCTACAGCTGGTCCCAATCTGCTTCTTGGACACCCGATCCTGCACACAACAGACAGAAGAAGAAAAGATAACATCAAAACCAAAAGCATCAAGCTGACTGATAGAAAGTAAGCTAACAGACAATTAAGGAACATAAAAAACATAGGAAATGGTAACAGTAGACATAGCAGAGGATAAGGCAGACCCAATAGATAAGACAGACATACCAAACCCATTAGTTTTGGAGTAAGGAAGGTGAGGAGTCATATGATGAGAGGCACTAGAATCAAAAAGCCAGACAGAGGAAGGAATACTTGAAGAGGACCCAAGCAAACCTGAATGACGAGAGGTAAAAGCAGAGGCAGATGAAGATGACTGAGAGATGGACCAAAGATGCTGAAGCTGGGCAATCTGGCCATTCAAGGACGCCAAGTCAGGATCAAAAGCTGGAGTAGAAGCAACATAAGCAGTAGGAGGGTGAACAGTACTCGAAGCAGGACCTCAGAACTATGGCTGAGACGGCTGAGAAGACTGAGCAGACTGACGACCCTTCTTGGGACAATTGTACTTCCAATGTCCCTTCTGATGACAAAAAGCACACTCATCAGAGGCTAGTGGCCCTTTCTTGGGCTTTGCAGTGACCTGAAGCTGATGAGAGGGGTTTGACAGTGGAGGAGAGATGACCATCAAGAAAAGCATTCTTAACGTCCATTTGATAGAGAGGCCAATGTCGAATAGCAGCAATAAAAATCAAGGTATGGACAGTGGTCATCTTGGCAACCGGGGCAAATGTCTCCTCATAATCAATACCATACTCCTGTGAGAAACCCTTGGCAACCAAGCGAGCTTTGTAGCGCTCGAGAGAACCATCAGAATGAGTCTTGACTTTATAGACCCATTGGTAACCAACTAGATTCTTGCCAGAAGGCCAAGGAACCAACTCCCAAGTGTTAGTCTTCTGTAAGGCAAACAACTCATCCTCTATAGCTTGAACCCAATGAGGATCCTGACAGGCCTCCATGTAAGACTGTGGTTTTGAAAAAGAATGAATAACAGACAAAAAACTACGATAGAAAGCAAAAAAAACATGTATTAGACCAACCTAACTTGTTTGGAGGACGATGCTCACAAGTAGAATATCAGTGCATAGCAGGATCAGAGTCGTCAAAAGCAGAAGAAGCAGCAACGAGAATAGAGGCAACTGGTGCTGGGGGAGCTTGGCGACGAGAATAGACCAACAATGGAGGGGAAGAAGTAACTAAAGGAGGAGAAAGAGCTATGGGTGACGCAGATAGAGAAGTAGGAATGGCCTCAGAAGGAACAGTGGAGATGTACTCACCAGACGGGACCTCAGAAGAAAATGGGTCAATGTGAACCAAATCTTTTTTGGAAACAGGAGCAGTGAGAGGGGGAAGCTGAAAGTAAGATAGACGTTTGAGCAAGGCAACATGATGGGAGACATAAAGGCGACGAAAGATAGGGTCATAGCAACGGTAGCCTTTTTGAGTAAGGCTGTAACCTAAAAAGATGCACAAGACAGACTAGGCACTGAGTTTGGTCTTATCTTTACGAGGAAGGAAGACAAAACAAGTAGACCCAAAGACATGTAGGAAGGAATAATTGAGAGGTTGGGAATACATAGCTTTATAAGGGGATTGATTGGAGAGTAGGGAAGTTGGCATGCGATTAAGGAGGAAAGCTGCGGTAAGAACTGTCTCACCCCAAAATGGTGCCGGAACAAAGGCAGAAAGAAGAAGAGATTGAGCCGTCTCAAGGAGGTAACGGTGTTTACGCTCAGCACGACCATTTTGGACAGGGGTATCAGTATAGGAGGTTTGGTGAATGGTACCCAATAGAGCCAAATACTCACATAATTCAGTTTTGAAGTATTCCCCACCCAAGTGAGACCGAAGTATTTTAATTGTGGCCCCAAACTATGTAGTGATCATAGACAGAAAGGTATGATATATCTGGTAGAAGTTAGATTTATGAGCCATAAGATAAACCCAGATATAATGGCTACAATCATCAACAAAGGACACATAGTACGCAGAACCCCCTTTAGTGAGAACAGGAGAAGGGCCCCAGACATCAGTATATACAAGAGAAAAGAGGGAAGCAGAAATAAAAGTATTGTTATTAAAAGGTAAAGTTGTCATTTTAGCAAATTTACACCCTCGACATTCATTAATTTGACTAGGAGAAACTTTACCTAATAATCCTGACTGAGCTAAAGACCGTAAGCGGTCAACAGACAAATGACCTAAGCAGTCATATGATGAGATGCACTAGAATCAAAAAGCCAGACAAAGGAAGAAACACTTGAAGAGGACCCAAGCAAACCTGAATGACGAGAGGTAAGAGCAGAGGCAGATGAAGATGACTGAGAGATGGACAAGAGATGCTGAAGCTAGGCAATCTGGGCACTCAAGGAAGCCAAGTCAGGATCAGAAGCTAGAGTAGAGGCAGTATAAGTAGTAAGAGGGTGAACAGTACTCGAAGTAGGACCTCAGAACTGTGGCTGAGACGGCTGAGAAGACTGAGCAGACTGATGACCCTTCTTGGGACAATTGTACTTCCAATGTCCCTTCTGATGACAAAAAGCACACTTATCAGAGGCTAGTGGCCCTTTCTTAGGCTTTGCAGTGACCTGAAGCTGATGAGAGGGGTTTGACAGCAGAAGAGGCTGAGTAGGAGCCAAGAAGATAGATAGAGACAGAGGCTGGCTGGCCGTCTTAAGATGGGTTTCCTCGAAGAGGAGCTCACGAACAATAGCATCCACAGAGAGAAGAGGAGACCGATGAAGGATGCCACCACGGATAACCTCACATTGAGGGGAAAGAGCTGTTAAGAACTACACTAAACAACCCTATTCTCGAAACTCAACATAAATGTCTAATACCTTGAGGCTGGATGGTTCCATGAGAGCCAATTGATCCCAAAGACTTGTCATCTCAATATAGAAATCCTAAATAGTCTGATCTCGTTGATAAGCACTCTGAATAGCTATTTCCAACTCATACCGCTTGGCAAAGTTGGACTGTTGATAAACACCCAGTAAATAATCTCACACCTCCTTGGTAGTACTATATTTAGAAAACATCATTCCAATACGGTCATCTACGGAATTATGAAACCAGGTCAGAACTTGGGCATTATCACAATCCCAGGTATCATAGGAAGTCAGATATCCTTCCGCCTTCGAGTCCAATGGCTGAGGAACAGAACCAGAAACATATCCCCATTTTTTTTGACCAAGAAAGAAGTTCTTCATAACACTGGCTCAATAGGCATAATTGTTACCAGTGAGTTTGCACTTGATAGCTTGGGTTTTAGTGTCCAACATTATAATGAAACAAGGGTTATAGAATTATAATATTCAGAAGGTGTTGGGCCAAACAATAATAAATCTAATATAAATTTTGAGTTTATTAACCCCAAACCAAACCAAGCTACATGAGCAGAGAGAGAGAGAGATACAGTGGTCGTGACAATGTAATCCGAGATGAGACGAAGCAGAGATGAGACGAGGCGAAGCAAATGACTGAGGGAGACAACGACGAAGTGACGACAAGACTCAGCAGAAAGGGCTGAGAGAGACGACCGTGCTAGGGCTCGTGAACACACAGATTGACAGCTAGGGCTCGCGAGCACACAGACTGACGGCTGAGGCAAATGACGGTGCTAGGCTTTGCGAGCACAGAGATTGACTAGAGACAACTGCGGAAGATAACAGCACTAAGGTTATGAACACGACTCTGATACCATGTAACTATTCTAAAAGAATTCGTATATTCAATTGTGTATTGTTTATAAAGAGGTCATCGATTTATATAGCCTAAATGAAAAAGGAAATACAAAGATTCGTATTTTTACACAATCATACCATATATACAATATATATTCTCATGATTGCTTGGTGATTCTCTTATTTTATTCGTCTGTTATAGACCAAAGCTCCTTTGGAAGAGATGCAAAAGAAGATCTGGCTTGTGGACTCAAAGGTAGTCAAAAGTCTAGTGAACGTTCCTTGCTAAATGATGGATATTTAGTCGATCATGCCTGTTCATATTTTTATTTTGTTTCAATTTTTACCTTTTTTGGCACTTGTGTCTTGCATTAATCATAGCATGTGATTTCTGTTGCAGGGATTAATCATAACCTTAGGCTCCCGAACGTGAACCCATTAAGGATCTTTTAGATGCTGTCAAGGTTTGATGCATTCCCTTTGTGTCTATATTTTATTATAAGAAGATAGTTCTTAGTGATTGTTGGACTCTATTTTCATTTTCAAATGTCATCAGGCTATCAAGCCAACAGTTCTAATTGGTTCATCTGGAGTGGAAAGAACATTCACAAAAGAGGATGGCGTCCTTCAATGAGGTACTCTCTCTCTCTATATATACAAAATTTTCTCGCAAGACTTTAAATGAATAGCATGCAGAACCCTCTCATTATGGCTCTCTCCAACCCAACCTCACAATCTGTGCACGGCTGAAGAAGCTTACACCTGGAGTCAGGTAAATATAAATTATGTATTTTTTCTTATCCTATAATTTGATGCTTTAATGTAAAGTAATGTCTGATTGGATTTAAATACAGAACTAATAAATTTCTTTGTTCTAAAAAAAGGGACATGCAATTTTTGCCAGTGGAAGTCCATTTGACCCTATGGAATACAACGGCAAAGTCTTGTACCTGGCCAGGGTCTTTTACTTTGTACTTCTAGTTTTTTGGTATAAAATCCTTAATACATCTAAGATGGATACTAAAAGCTGATTTTGATGGCCTTTTCTTCTTTCTTTTTTCTTTTGTGATCCATTCAGGCAAATAATGCATATATTTTCCCTGGATTCGGTTTAGGTTTGGTCATCTCTGGTGCAATTTGTGTACATGATGAAATGCTTCTGGCAGCCTGTAAGTACACTACATATAACATAATTAGATATATTATAAACTGAATACAATTTACTTGCTAATTGAAAAGAAAGGAATTCTTTCCTTTATTTTATTTCATTTTACTTTGCTTTATTTTTTTTTTCCATTTCCTTTGGTCACATATCTATATAGGGCATCAATAATGAATAAACTCTTAGAAAAAGTTTTGAGATGTTTACTCAGATTCCAATAGAATGTAAACTAAATGACACCTTGTGTTTGTTTTATTCCCTTGATGTGTGATCTAGTTTTGTTAGGGCGATTTGGCTCAATGGTAAGGCTTGCCATTAGCATCCCTAGTAGCACAGGTTTGAGTCATAGACATAGTCTCTTCAAAAATGAAAGAAAGACTGTGTACATCTTATCCTCTCTAGATCCCTGTTTTAGCAGAAGCTTCATACACTACGCCGCCCATAATCATGTGCGAAGCACAATGGAAAACATTTGGCAAAACCTATTTAATTGAAGTTACTTCTATGCAAACGGGCATGACAAATAGCTAGAATGGTTCACCTTTGTATCTAAACCATCTACTCTCCTTTGTAACAGCAAAGGCTTTGGCTGGGCAAGTAACAAAAGAGAACTTCGACAAGGGTTTGATCTATCCACCATTCTCTAATATCAGAAAGATCTCGGCCCGCATTTGTTGTTGATGTAGCTACTAAAGAATATGAACTTGGTGAGTTAGTGAGTGTACCTTTGGAAGTCCATTTGGTTCATCTAGAGTGGGAAGAACATTCACAAAAGAGGTGATTGAGGCCATGGCCTCCTTCAATGAGGTACTCTCTCTCTCTCTCTCTCTCTCTCTCTCTCTCTCTCTCCAAAATTTTATAATAAGATTCTAAATACATGACATGTAGAAACCTCTCATTATGGCTCTCTCCAACCCAACCTCGCAATCTGAGTGCACAACTGAAGAAGCTTACAGCTGGAGTCAGGTAAAAATAAATTATGCATTTTTTCTTATCCTATAATTTGATGTTTTGATGCAAAGTAATGTCTGATTGGATTTAAATACAAAACTAATAAATTTCTCTACTCTAAAAAAGGGACATGCAATTTTTGCCAGTGGAAGTCCAATTGACCCTGTCGAATACAATGGCAAACTCTATCTACCTGGCCAGGTTCTATTACTTTATACTTCTAGTTTTTTGGTGTTATATACTTAATACATCTGAGATGGATACTAAAAACTAATTTTGATGGCACCTTTTGTTTTTTTTGTTTTTTAGTGATCAATTCAGGTAAATAATGCATATATTTTCCCTAGATTTGGTTTGGGTTTGGTCATCTCTAGTGCAATTTGTGCACACGATGAAATGCTTCTGGCAACCTGTAAGTGCACTACATATTACATAATTAGATACATTATAAGTTGAATACAATTTACTTGCTAATTGAAGAGCAAGGAATTCATTCCTTTAATTTATTTCATTTTACCTATGCTTTATTATTTTTTTCCCTTTCCCTGGTCACATAGCTATGCAAGTCATAAATAATGAATCGACACTCTTTAGAAAAAGTTCTGAGATGTTTACTCAGATTCCAATAGAATGTAAACTCAAAAAACACCTTGTGTTTGTTTTATTCCCTTGATGTGTGATCTGGTTCTGTAAGGGCGATTTGCCATTAGCATCCCTGGTGGCGCAGGTTCAAGTCATTGAAACAGTCTCTGTACATCTTGCCCTCTCTAGATATCCTTTTAACATAAGTTTTTTACACTGGGTTGCCCATAATCATGTGTGAAGCACTATGGAAAACTTTTGGTGAAACCTATTAAATTGTATTTCCAGGCGATACGCACGACAAATAGATAGAATGGTTAACCTTTGTATCTGAATCATCTACTTTCCTTTGTAACAGCAGAGGCTTTGGCTGAGCAAGTAACAAAAGAGAATTTGGGCAAGGGTTTGATCTATCCACCATTTTCTAATATTAGAAAGATCTCTGGCCACATTGCTGCTAATGTGGCTGCTAAAGCATATGAACTTGGTGAGTTAGTAAGTGTACCTTTGGTTGCTTCATGTGTCTTTCCTCCGCTGTAATTGCCCCTTGAAGCATGTTTATTTTTATGACTTTCACAATGTTTCCTAGGGTTGGCAACACGTCTCCCTCGGCCTGATATTCTGGTGAAGTACGCTGAAAGCTACATGTATACTCCCAATTACAGAAGCTTCCGATGAATTGTTGAATTGTGAGCAGAAACTATGGCTAGTAGTTAATGTAGTGTGTTTCTTCAGAGTCTTATATATTCTTGTTTGGCGTCTCTCCTTTTCCCTCTACATTCCAATCATGGTGTTTCGGAACTTTTGTGGTGTTGTAACCTTTAGAGTTTATATTAGAACAATGACAGTAAGAGTCGGGTTGGATGAAAGGTTAGTTATAGTTTAAACATTGTCAACTTCAGTCTCTACTTGCTACTCACTACCAGTTTAGTAGTCTCTATGAAGTCACAAAAGCTGTGGAAATATGGAGAAATTCAAACTGACCTGTGAAGCATCCGATGTGGTGGTACTTGTAGAATCAACCACTTGCCTCAATTGAGGATTTGGAATGCCAAGCTTGTCATTCTCAAGATGTATTACTAACTTTTGATGCTAAGCTTCACTTGAATCGTATGATAGAGAGAGTTCAAAATAGAAGGATATGAGAGAGCGTCAGAGCTGGACAAAGAATTTTCAGCCTAACTGCCTTCTATGTGTAATTGTAATAGAATACAATGTTTTTTAATAAATCAATCCCCGTGTTCTTTGGCCCAAAGCTAAATTGTATCTTCCCCCATTGACCTATTTCTCTGAGTTGTTAGTTCTTAGTGGCCAGTGTGGCAAATGAGCTGAGCTGAACTGGTTTGTTTATCTAGCTCAAAAAAGAAAAGTTTGAGTTGAGCTTGAATATTTATAGTAATTAATGCTTGAGCTCAGCTCAGTTCCTTAATATTAATTATATTCAAGTTTGGTTTGAAACTTAATAATGAAGAAAAATGATAAAGTTTGGTTTGAAACTCAATAATGATCGATTTTGGTTTGAAACTTAATAATGAAGTTATGCTCGAGTTTGGTTTGAAACTCAATAATGAAGAAAAAAATTGACTTGAACCTTGAGTGATTCATTTATTAAACGAGCTCAAAAGATTGGTTTGACATTGTTTATGTATGTAATAAACTGAGCAGAGTTGAACTCTTACTGAATTTGTTAAACAAACCTAAAAATTTAATTTGAACTCGCTTATATATGTAACAAGTAGAGTTGAGCTCTTACTGGGTTTATTAAACAAGCCTAAAAATTTAATTTGAACTTGCTTATATATGTAACAAACAGAGTAAGGTTGAACTTTTTTTCATAGTGTTGCACCACGTTGACAACACAAGAGGGGGGAAATTAAGTTAATAAATATAACTTAAAATAAAATAATTCAATAAAATTAACTTGCTCAAGTAAAATAAAAGAATGAATATATAAAATATGAGCAATAATGTGTGTGAGCAAATCAAGTCAAAGCACAACAGAGCAGCAATTATAAATATAAAGGAGAGATAGAGAGAGAAGGCAAACACAAGATTTATAGTGATTCGGTTTCCATCCAAGTTTACATCCACTCCTCAAGACTCCCCCTCGAGTATTTTCACTATT